TAAAAATAGACACATAGGTCAGTGGAACAGAACAGAAAACCCCCAAATTAACCAATTAGTATATGGTCCTTAATCTTTGACAAAAGAGGAAAGAATATCCAAGCAGAAAAAAGACAGTGTCTTCAACAAATTGTGTTTGGGAAAACTGGACAGCAACATGTAAAACAATGAAACTGAATCCATATATACAATGGAATATTACTCAGCCATCAGAAAGGATGAATACCCAACTTTTACATCAACATGGATGGGACTGGAAGAGATTATGCTAAGTGAAATAAGTCAAGCAGAGAAAGACAATTATCATATGGTTTCACTTATTTGTGGAACATAAGGAATAGCATGGGGCACATTAGGAGAAGGAAGGGAAAAATGAAGGGGGGGAAACCAGAGGAGGAGATGAACCATGAGAGACTATGGACTCTGGGAAACAATCTGAGGGTTTTAGAGGGGAGGGAGGTGAGGGAATGGGTTAGCCTGGTGATAGGTATTAAGGAGGGCACGTATTGCATGGAGCACTGTGTGTTAAACGCAAACAATGAACCATGGAACACTACATCATGGGACTAACATAACATAAAAAAAGAATGAAACTGGACTTTCTTTCACCATACACAAAAATAAACTCAAATTGGATTAAAGACCTAAATGTGAGACCTGAAACCATAAAAACCATTAAAGAGAGCACGGACAGCAATGTCTCTGACATCAGCTGTAGCAACATTTTGCTAGATATGTCTCCTGACAAGGTAAATAAAGGAAAAATAAACTATTGGGACTACATTAAAGTAAGTTTCTGCACAGCAAAGGAAATAATCAACAAAACTAAAAGACAACCCACCAAATGGGAGAGGATATTTGCAAATGGCATTTCCAATAAATGGTTAGTATCCAAAATATATAAAGGACTGCTACAACTCAATACCCAAAGAACAAATAATCCAATCAAAATGGGCAGAAGACATGAATATTTTTCCAAAGAAGACATAAATATGGCCAACAAACACATGAAAAGTTACTCAGCATCACTCATTATCATGAATATGTGGTGGGGGGTGGGAGGGATGGAGTGGCTGGGTGATAGACATTCAGGAGGGTATGTGCTATGGTGAGCACTGTGAATTGTGTAAGACTATTGAATCACAGACCTGTACCTCGGAAACAAATAATACATTGTATGTTAAAAAATAAAAGAAGATAGCAGGAAGGGAAGAATGAAGGGGGGATATCAGAGGGGGAGATGAACCATGAGAGACTCTGGACTCTGAGAAACAAACTGAGGGTTCTAGAGGGGAGGGTTTGGGGGGATGGGTTAGTCTGGTGATGGGTATTAAAGAGGGCACATACTGCATGGAACACTGGGTGTTATACGCAAACAGTGAATCATGGAACACTACATCAAAAACTAATGATGTAATGTATGGTGATTAACACAACATAATTAAAAAAAAAGGAACATGCAAATCAAAACTACAATGAGGTATCACCTCACTCCTGTCAGAATGGCTAAAATAAAAAACACAAGAAATGTGTTTATGAAGGTGTGGAGAAAGAGGAATCCCTTTGCACTGTTGGTGGGAATGTGTATTGGTACAACCACTGTAGAAAACAGCATGGAAGTTCCCTAAAAAATTAAAAATAGAACTACCCTACAATCCAGTAATTGCACTACTGGATATCTATCCCTAAAATACAAAAACACTAATTCAAAGGGTTATATGCACCCCTGTGTTTATAGCAGCATTATTTACCATAGCCAAATTATGGAAGTAGTCCGAGTGTCCATTGATAAATGAATATATAAAGAAGATATGATGTGTGTGTGTATTAATATTTTATCTATATCTATCTATCTCTCTATCTAGATCTATATAATGGGATATTATTCAGTCATAAAAAAGAAGGAAATCTTGCCAATTGCAATGACATGGGTATAGCTAGAGAGTATATTCCTAAATGAAATAAGTCTGAGAAAGACAAATACCACATGATCTTGCTCATATGTGTGGAATTTAAGAAAGAAAACAAACGAGCAAAGGAAAAAACGTGACAAACCAAGAAACAGGCTATAAATTATAGAGAACAAACTGATGGTTACCAGAGGGGGTAGTGTGGGGGGATTGGTGAAATAGGGCTTGGGATTAAAGAATACACCTATCATGATGAAAATAAAGTAAAATGAAATAATATGTTCAAAATGGGGTAAAGAGATTAGTTTCAAAATAACTGCACTGCAGGACCTAAATGCTGGACTTAGGTAATCAAGACTAAATAAAGGCCAAGCATCATCTCATTGTTATAGTTCAATCGTAAGTCAGGGCTATGGGAGCACCTTACTCAACAAAACAGATGTGTTTTGGAAAGTTGGAAAGTTTGGAAAGTTTTACAAATCAAATATTTACATTTTAAATATGTTAGGAGAGTTTAGTAATTAAAGGTATCCTGAAATGAATCTTTCATAATGTTAATGCAAACAAGACAAATATAAACTAATTATATTTTGATTAACCACCAATAAAAATAATAGCTAAAGAAACGTTTGACAGAATTCAACATCTGTTCATGATAAAAACTTTCAACAAATTAGGTATAGAAGGAATGTACCTCAACATAATTAAGGCAATATGTGACAGCCCACAGCTAAGATTGTACTCGGTGAAAGTTCCAATGCTTTCCTTCTAAAATCAAGAACAAGACAAATGTGTCCACTCAGTACTGCTATTTAGCATTGTACTGGAATCCCTAGCCAGATTAATTAGGTAAGAAAAAGAAATAAAAGCCATTAGAATCAGAAAGAAAGTAGTAGAATCATCTCTGTTTGATTTTATATATAGAAAATCCTAAAGACTTCATCAGAAAAATGTGGGGTAATTGGTAAAAGAAATAGGTGAAGGGGATAAACAGTTAAAAAAAAAACCAAAAAGATTATCTGAAAAAGAAATAAAGAAAATGATTTTATTTACAGGAGCATCATAACCAAAGTATTTAGGAATAAAATTAACCAAGATGGTCAAAGACTTATACTCTGAAAACTATAAGGCATTGATGAAAGAAATTGAAGATTACACAAATAAATGGAAAGATATAGTTCTCATGGATTGGAAGAATTAATATTGTTAAAATGTCCATACTACCCATGGCAATCTACAAATTGAAAGCAATCCCTATCAAAATACCATCAGCATCTTTTACAGGCTAGAACAAATAATCTTAAAATTTGTATGAAACCACAAAAGACCTTGAATAGTCAAATCAGTCTTGAGAAAGAAGAACAAAGCTAGAGGCATCATACTCCTTGATTTCAAATTATACTACAAAGATGTAGTAATCAAAACAGTATGGTACTGGCATAAAAACAGATATATCGATCAGTGGAATAGAATAGCAAGCCCAGAAATAAACCCAGGTTTATGTTGTCAATTAATCTAAGATAAAGGAGGCAAGAATATACAGTAGGGATAAGACAGTCTGGAGTTGGGAAAGCTAGATATTCACATGTAAAAGAATGAGAGTAGGTTCCAATCTTACACATTCACAAAAGTTAACTTGAAATGGATTAGACTGAAATGTAAAACCTGAAACCATAAAATTCCTAGAAGAAAACATAAAGAAAAAGCTTCTTGATGGGGTCTTTGCAATTTTTTTGCTATGACACCAAAGGACAAGCAACAACATAAAAAAAAATCAACAAGAGGGACTGTATCAAACTAAAATTCTTGTGCACAGCCAAAGAAACAGTCAACAAAATGAAAAGGCAACCTATGGAATGGGAGGAAATACTTGCAAGTCATGTATCTGGTAAGGGGTTAATAGCCAAAAAATATAAACAACTCTGACAACTCAATAGCAAAGCAAACAAACAAAAACCCCCAAATAATCCAATTAAAAATGGGCAAAAGACTTGAATCAACATTTTTCCAAAGACGATATTAAAATGGCCAAGAGGTACATGAAACTTGCTTAACAGCACTAACCATAAGGGAAATGCAATTAAAACCACAGTGAGATATTCCCTCAGTTAGAATGGCTTTCATAAAAAGGACAAGATGACAAATGCTGGCGAGGATGTGGAGAAAAAGGAACTTTTGTACACTGTTGGTAGGAATGTAAATTGGTGCCAGCTACTGTGGAAAATAGAATGGAGGTCCCTCAAAAAATTAAAAATAGATTTACCTTATGATCCAGCAATTCCACATCTGGGAATTAATTATCCAAAGGAAATTAAACCACTATGTTGAAGAGATATCTGCACTCCTGTGTTCACTGCAGCATTATATATAATAGCCAAAACATGGAAACAACTTAAGTGTCCATTGATAGATGAATGGATAAAAAAGTTATGGTATATATATGGTACACACACACACATATACACATATATACATACATACTGGGATACTATTCAGCCATAAAATACAAGGATATTCTGCCATTTGTGACAACGTGAATGGATCTTTATGGTATCATGCTAAGTGAAATAAAGACTTACTGTATGATCTCACTTATATGTGGAACCTAAAAAAGAAACTCCTAGAAAAAGTAATCAGATTTGCGGGGGTTGGGGTAATTGAATGAAGGTAATCAAAAGGTACAAACTTCTAGTTATAAGATAAATATAAACTGAGGACATAATGTAAATATGATGACTGTGATTAGCATGGCTATGTGGTATATTTGAAAGTTGCCAAGAGAATAGATCCTATCCTTAAACTCACATAGTGTTGTGTGTCAGTTATATCTCAATAAAACTGAAGGGAAAAAATCTCTTGGGTAGTGGAATTGGAAAAAAAAAGAAAAGAAAGAAAGAAAACAAAAAGAAGAAAAGAAATATTCAACAGGCACTGAACACATTCTCCTATTGGCGTTAGGTTTGAATGCCTTCCTCTCGTGTCCAGGCTGGCTTGGAGCACTGGTCCCTAACTTATATCACTCAGATCTCTGCCCACTTCCCTATCAAGTACTCTGATTAATTTGGTTTATCTTTTATTCTGTCTTTCTAGCTGAATCCTTCAAGGAATTTGCTGAATTGCTCAATGAAGTAGAAAATGAGAGGATGATGATGGTAGGTCACTAACACTGGGGCTTGAACTGGTATCTTGGCTGATATTGGGGATTTTTCTGTCCTCATTCATTGGATTGATACTCTGTTGTTTCAGTGTCTGTCTCATGGCTGTTTAGAACAGTAAAGATATTTAGGAAGTAGATCTGGTTATTCTATTTCAAGCTTTTACCCTGGGAGTTTCGCATTAGGTAGAGAGAAATTAGTGTGGAAATTCCATTTCTGTTCATATCAGCAAGAAGCGGTTTCAAAGGACGTTAAACTGGGCTATTGAACATGTGGAAAGAAATTGTGGCCCTTATTGTCCTTAAATTACTCATTTATTTATCTGTTTAATACAGACTCTATTTATATTTGACATATAATTGTTTTATTTAAATCTCTGTGAAGACTTCTCCTTATATTTAAAGTCTGTTTCTTAAAATAATAGATTTATTTTTTAGAGCAGTTTTAGTTTTATGAAAACACTGAGTGGAAAGTACAGAGAGATTTCACAGAACCCCTTCCTTCTGTTTTGATTACTGTAGCTTTGTAGTAAGACTTAATGTTAGGTATGAAATTTAGAATCAGTTTGTCAGTACCCACAAAATAAATTGCTGGGATTTTGATCAGGATTATGTTGAATCTATAGAACAAGTTGGGATAAACTGACATCCTAAGAATATTGTCTTCCTATTTATGAACATGGATTATCTCTCCATTTATTAAACCCTTCTTTGATTTCTTTCATCAGAGTTTTGTAGTTTCCTTACATAGATCTTATATTTCATTTTTTTTTTTTTTTGGTGAACTCTATTTAGCAGCTTAAAAAATAATCTTTTTGTGTGGTCCCTAGACCTGCTGCACCAATGTCTCTTAGGAAATTGTTAGAAATGCAGGTCCTCGGCCCCACCCCAGACCTATTTGGACTTAAATGTAGAAGTACCTAAGTTGGTCAATATTTATTTTTATTAGGGGTGTGAAGGTAATGTTGGAACTTTGTAGAGGGTGATGAGAGGTCTACCCTCCCTTTCTTGATAGGATGATTTCCTGTGGGCAGTTCAGTTTTGTTAAGTCTATTTATTCAATAGCCAGAGTTCTTTAATCTGTCATTACTCATCCTTTTCAACAGTATGATACTGGCTTCTGAGAATCCTGCTGCCATTTCATCTAGGCTCCTAGAGAAGTAGAATTGAAGGCAGGACTTGGATGTAGGGGAAGTAGAGACTTAGGTTCTAATAATGTCAGTGCTACTAATTGTTGATTTCAAACAAATGGTATTTTGCTGTCTTTCTTTTTTCATATGTATAATGAGGAAAATAATCCCCACCTCCCAAGGTTGTTGTAAGAACTCCAAATGATATAATGAATATGAAAGTGTTCTATAAATACCAAAAAAATACTTATTAAGTGAGTGTTCTTTGTAGTTAACTTTTGTTACTCCCAAGATTCTGCTTATGGAAATTTGACTTGGGAATTTTCTTAGTTTAAGAGACTTGCTTCTAAGGATATTAAGGAGAGACCAATATGGGTAGTTTCTTTGGAGTCTGGTAGATGGCCCCCCTAGCTAATCTACACTCTGCTAAATGTTTTCTTCTGCCTGAAGAATTTGTGGACTACTGCCAATGTTGATCTCAAAGGCATTCAACTCCATTTCATTCATATACCACTAGAAAGCTCAGCTATACTTCTCTTCAGCCCTAGTTGTTTCTTTTTTTTTTCCCTTGAGATCATGAGTGACTTTAATCAAGAAAGCATTTCTTTTTTTATTATTATGTTCTGTTAATCACCATACATTACATCATTAGTTTTTGATGTAGTGTTCCATGATTCATTGTTTGCATATAACATCCAGTGCTCCATGCAGAACGTGCCCTCCTTAATGCCCATCACCAGGCTAACCCATTCCCCCACCCCCCTCCCCTCTAGAACCCTCAGTTTGTTTTTCAGAGTCCATAGTCTCATGGTTCGTCCCCCCCTCCGATTTCCCCCCCTTCATTCTTACCCTCCAATCGCAGACCTGTACCTCGGTACCTAGTTGTTTCTTGATCTCTTTTATTTACCCAATTACAGAGCTCTAAAATATTAAAGTAGGACTCATCTTTTGAGACATTGTTTTTCTCACCCTTCTTGCTGGCTTTTTTCCACAGGAGTGACTCATTTTCTTCTGTCTCTCATTATGTTGTGCCTCTTTGTCCCCACAACTCTTCAATTATGTATTGAGTGTTGGCTCCCCATTTCCCGTTTAATTTTAGGAATGCTGTGAAGGTTAGGCTCAATGAGGGCCTTTCACAACATGCCAGGAATTCATTGCTTCACTGCACCTCTCCCTTTTCCTAGAACTGTGGTAAAAGGACTTCTTACCCCACTATGGATAATCTGGGAGGTGTTAAATAGCTTCTTTTCCTTTCTATAAGAAGAGGCCAAAAGAAGCTTTAGAACAGGAAGTTCACAGCTCTAGCCTGTGATAATTGCAAATGTCTAGTCATTCTTGTAAATGAACTTAAATTGTGGAAGGAATTATGGAGGAAAGAATTGAAGAGGGGCATTCCAACTGTGATGTTCTTAAATAGTACCCTGTGGGATATTGTATTACCTCAGAAGTTGGCCTTGAAAAGTTTGGATAACAGACTTCCTGTATGATTAACGTTTTGCTTGCCTAGGTGCCTTTCTGACTCTGAAGGCGACCCTGTTAGCAATGTGCAAGGTCTGTCTTTGAGGACTGCGAAGAATGACCTAAGAGACCCATACTATTTCAAGCAGTATATCCTCAATGACTTCTTTTGGTAATTAGTTATCCATCAAAGATTCATGAACAATCCTACACTGCTGGATTGAGTACCATCTCTAATCTGCTAAATGCCCTACCTAGTGTTAATTGGGATTCATTCAATAGGACCCTGATTAGCTAAACTCACTAATGTGTTGTTTAGAGTGTCACTTATCATGCTGGGGGTTCTACCCTGGGATAGCAGGTAGGAGCTTTTCTGCTAGAGAGCTTATGAAATGGGTGTAGTGATCAGAAAGGGGAATAAAGATCATGTTTAATTAAAAGGGCTTTTTTTGAGTAGTTGCTAGACTTCTAAGAGATTTGAGGATAAAACGAAATAAAAAAAAGAGTCAAGCTTCAGTGTGATCTTTTCCTACATCTCTAGCTCTGTGTTCTGGCAGAAAGTATTATAATAACCAATGAGTGTCAAAGAGAGGAAATGCTCAGAGTATTTATTTGTGTTGTAGGAGACTGGTAGCAGTATTATGATCAATGTGATCAAGTCAGAACTATGGCATCCAATTTCAGTGAATCATGTACTAGTTTTCTTGACAGAGACAGGGCCAAACATACAAAAAGCGGTGGCCTTATGGACCTGTGTAAGAAGTTGCTGGCACACCTGCTTATACTAGAAAATCCCCTTTGAAGCATAAAAACTGGCAACTGTACCATCCTTGGGTTGCCTATGTATGCAAGGGCTCAGCTGAAAGTCCATACAGAAGTTTGACACATACTGCTCTCCTTAGAAATGGCATGTTCACTTCGTATTCAAAGGCAAACTTCTTCAATGTGTCCCAGGTAACCACTTTTTGTGTGTTACCTTTGTGAAAGTGGAAATAGTTTTTCTAATTATCTGTTGCTGCACAACAACCTATTCCAAAATGTAGTGGCTTAAACTAAAACCATTTAATTTTATCTCATTATGTTGTGGGTCAGGAATTCAGGTAGGGATCAGCTGGGTAATTTTTCTGCTTCATGTGGTAGTATTCACCTGGGAGGTGGGTTGAGGTGGAGAGTCCAAAGCAGTCCAAAGCTTTGCTCACCTATCAAGCACCTTAGTGGAATGGCTGGGAGGCTGGGCTCAGCTGGACTTTTGATCAGAAAGTGTATATTTGGCCTCTCTAGGTAGGTAGTCTCAGGATAGTCCAGCTTCCTATAGGGTGGCTCAGGGCACCCCAGGGGAAGTGTTCCAAGAGACCCAGGTGGAAGTTGCTGGCCTTTTATGACCTAGTCTGAGAAGTCACATAGTGTCACTTCTGCTATACTCTATTGGTTCAAAGAAGTAATAAACCCACTCATATTTAAGGTAGAGGGGACAGCGACCTCACCTCTCAGTGGGGAAAGTGTCACAAAATTTGAGGCCATGTTTTAAAACTTGCACAAAAGGAGAGAAGAAAAATGACTCTCTGTACTGGATCTATGACATTAATGACATAATTTGTTTCCAGGTATGTACACAAAGTTGATTATCACATATCTCACAGTCCATAGAACTATAGAGTGTGTTGGGCAAGAGAGATGTGCTAATACTTTTTTTAAAATTTAATTCTATTAGCATACAGTACATCATCAGTTTCTGATGTCATGTTCAATGATTCATCAGTTGTGTATAACACCCAATGCTCATCCCATCATGTGCCCTCCTTAACTGAGCTCGTACTTTTAATAAAAGAATTCTTTTTTTTAAATATTTTTCATTTATTTATTTATTTATTTATTTATTTATTTATTTATTTATTCATTTGAGACACAGAGATACAGAGAGGGAGAGAGAGAGCATGAGCAGGGAGAGAGGCAGAGGGAGAGGGAGAAGCAGGCTCCTCGCTGAGCCAGGAGCCCGATGCGGGGCTCGATCCCAGGACGCTGGGATCATGACCTGAGCCGAAGGCAGATGCTTAACCATCTGAGCCACCCAGGTGCCCCTAATAAAAGAATTCTTATTTTTGATCAAGGAGAATCACTGATGTCCTTATTTTTGGTACTAGGGCTTCTGGTAGAGCTTGATTGGATGAGAGTTTGGCCATTTAGTTGAACTCTGAATCATACCTGGACACAAAACAGGAGACCCAAAGTGCCTGTAGGATACAGATTAAAAAATATGTACTAATGCCCCAACTGCCCATGCATTTTGGTGGTAGTTTAAAAACTGCTTCTTGGGACGCCTGGATGGCTCAGTCATTAAGCGTCTGCCTTTGGCTCAAGTCATGATCCCAGGTCCTGGGATCGAGCTCCGCATCAGGCTCCCTGCTCTGCGGGAATCCTGCTTCTCCCTCTCCTACTCCCCCTGTTTCTATTCCCTCTCTCGCTCTCTCTCTCTGTCAAATAAATAAATAAAAAAAATCTTTAAAAACTGCCTCTTAATCTGGAGAATACAGGACTGGTCAAAACTGGCTTTCTACTGTTTTTTCTACTTTTGTTATGAAGATATATCTTGTCTTACTGACACTTTATGTCTCATTTGACAAAGAAGGCAGTACCTCATTTCCCTGTCTTATCTCAAAATTAGTGCAATGGGTCCTAAAATCCAGCCCTTCAGATGTATTCTCTTAGGTCCTCCATTAATGTACAGCTGATTCATACCACTGAAGAAAACAAACCCCACTTGTTGCCTTGGATAGATGCAATCTTTCAAGAGGTTTATATGAACACAAATCTTTGTATATCTCTGCCTGCCCACTGAGCAAGGGGTCCAGTTTGCAAATGGTGTTTTTATATCTCTAGAACCATATTAATGTCAATATTTTTCATTCTTGGACAGGCTGTTTTTATCAGCTTTGGAGCTGATGCCTACATTTGTAGGTAATTTGAAGGCCTGATCCAGTGCTCTCTGTGATGCTGTAATATACTCGTAAGTTCTGAAGAAAATGTTCTGATTTTTATGACACACCCTGGCAGGACCGGAAATAGTTTATCCTGGGATTTATCCTGATGCTATTACTGCTAAATCATTTGCCTCCCATGAAATGGTTTGCACTTGGTGCAATTGGTATTTTCATACATTTTCCATTCTCTTTCTCTTTTCCACATATACTTCAGGCCCCCTGTATCTGTTTCTGGACATGACTATAGATACTTATTGATTAAAAACTCAGATCAGACTACCAGTAAGTTACAGAGAAATGCCCCTAATGTCACTTCTCTCATTTCCTCTCAAAACATTTGATTTTAAGAGACCAGTATGGGAAAAAAAGACAGTAACAACAATGAAAAAAACCCGCAAATCAATTTACATTTTGCAGGTTGATGTATTACAGGGTAATGCCTTAGTAACAAGGAAACTGAATCTGAACCTTTCTAATCTGAAAGTTGTTTTGTGTGTTCTTTCTTTTTTTCTAGGTACACAATGCTAGTGATTTGCTGATTAAACCCCTGGAAAATTTTCGGAAGGAGCAAATAGGCTTTACCAAGGTACATTTTCTCCAAATGTATAAGATATTTTTTATACCTGAGTAGTTTGGGCTACCACTCTTCACTCTTTAGGGGTGAGGAGGGTTCATATATATACGAAAATTCATTCAAAAAAGTGAGAAAATCTGAAATTGGCTCCTGGCTATGTTTCCAAACGAGCTGTGCAACTGTGGACAAGTCTCTTCTCTTTTTGGAGCTTCAGTTTCTCCATCTGGAAAATGAGGAGCTTGATAATAGGCATTATTTAAAGGGCACTTACTATGTGCTTGCTAAGCACTGGGCTACATGCTTTACATTCATTCTCTAATCACAACAATTGTGTGAGGTTCTGGTATTTTCCACATTTTACAAATGAGGCAGCTGAGGTTTGGGCAAGGTAAAAAAAACCTGACCAAAGTTATATAGTTAGGGACAGTAGCCAGCCTTTAGACTTTAGGATTTCTTTTAGCTTCAAATCCCACATTCTTTCCATTAAGCCCTACTATGTAGATATTTGCTGTCCAATATGGTATCCATAGCTATATAAATAAAATAAAATTAACAACTCAGTTTCTCAGTCATGCCAGTCACATTTCAAGTGCTTGGTACCTACATGTGGCTAGTAGCTACTGTGTTGGATTGCACAGACATAGAACATTTCCATCATTGTAGAAATTTCTACTGGACAGCACTGTGCCGGATAATCTGAGATTATTTCCAGCTTGATCACTCATGGATCTGGCTCCCCAGTGTCTCATAAAGAGGTACGAAAAATTGTTAAATTTCTTCTTTTCAGCTAAGAATAGGCCTATTTTTTGAACTCCAGTATGTATGCAACACGTAACCTAGATGGTCTTCCAGAACTAAATGTAGCATCTTGACTAAGCATCTGGTCCTAAAAAGGATTGAGAACACACCATCTGGTTATTATCTGGAATATTGTGACAACAAGCAGTTTGGATTGAAGATAGCAAGTTGAGAGAGGAAAGAGGAAAGACGAGATTAGTGGATGTGATGTCACTGCTGGATGTCATCAGTCAGCTTGACCTGGGTATTATTTGAGTGACTGCCATTCAGGCTAACTGAGTTAATCTGGATAGCCCAGCAATTCTGGATTCCACTTGATATATCTGGAATCTCATTAATGTAAGTACTTAACTGGGAAAATATATAATTGAAGGAGGGAAGAACCTTTAAAATTGTAAGTGTGGTATGAAAATAGTTAAGTGATATGACAGTTGTTACATAACAATGAATCTTTATGAAGAAGGACAGATAATGTGAAAATCTTCACATAGTCTACTTTCACTCCTGGATGAGATTAGGAAAAAGGAAAGTAAGAATATGCTGCAGTGGTTGATTGACCTCATGTCATCTGAGGGAAAGGAAACAAATATCTATTATATATTTCCTATGTCCCAGGCCTGTGCTGAGGATTTTACATGTGTTGTCTTCCTTAATTCTTACAGCAAACCTATGAAGTAGGATGTATAATATCCATTATCTCAATGAAGAAACTGAGACTCAGAAAGGTTATATTCTTATATTCCTATCGGTCTTTGTTTTTTTTTCCTACTTCCTTACCGTAGGGTCAACTTGCACACCTAAAAGGAGAGTGACCAACTCTCAGGGTGAGGGCTGTTTTCAAGAAACTATCTAGAATTATCCTGGTAGTAAGTAAAATTTAGGGTAATAGAGCAGTGAACTAAGGACTAGAAAATGCAGCTTCCCGTCTACCCCTGTGTTTTCAAATTATTGCCTATCAGTTCCAATACTTCTCAATACCTATTCTGTGAAAATGGATGGAATTCCTTTAAGCATCTCTCCTTTACAATGATCAAGCTGTAAAGCTTTCTCAGGAGATGGTGCTGGAGGGATATTGCAGGAAGAAGGGGCTCTCCTGAAGTTTCCAACTGCTGCAAAGTGGGGGTCAGTAGAGAGGGAGTGAGCTATCTGGCGGGGGCTCTGACCCAGCCACACATCTAGAATACATGGCCCCTCAGTGCCTTTGAAGCCTCTGCCTGGCCTGGCGATAACTTATCTGCGGATCTCTCAATTTAGGTCTCTCCCTGAAGGCCTCCCCACTCATTCTGTCCCCCAGCTTCCCTCTGTAGGCCCCACACCTCTCCCACCTGCTGACTGAAGGTTTATAACAGAGCTGCTGCTCCCTGCTTCCTCTGCCAGCCCCCATACAGCCTGCTTGCTCCTTAGGGGGTTCCTACTGAGGCAGGCTGGTCCTGCAAAGCTTATTGGTAACCTAAAAGGTTCCCATTCTCTCTCTATTCCTACTCCACTAGTTGCTGCTTGCTCCCCACCTGCACCCTGGAGAGTTGCCTCCTGCTTACCTAGTGACTCCAGAACACCAGGCCAAACCAATTTAAGCTAACTTCTCTGCTTAAATTACACCTTTTCCAATGAGTTTGGAGCCCCTTCCAAATTTGCCCTTCCATGGGTACTGTAAAGAATTTCCTTATATATTATAGTTAGGTTTTTTTTTTTTTTTTAGTTTAATACGTTTGGAGTTTAATAAATCTATATAGTGCTTTTTATCTTTTGATTGGGCCCAGACTGATACACCCAGCACTGCTGCTAGTTGGCTCTGTGACTTAACTGGTAGTGGAAAATGCTTTGCTAGGCCCTTACAAATATAGATGTATGTTCTCATTTGAACCTTGTAAAGTAGAACTTACTGTCCTTTTTTACTGATGAGGACACTAAGATTCAGTGAGGTGTAGTGTTAAAAGTCATTCAACCAGGAAGTGGCAGAGCTTGGATTTGAATTCATTTCTCTCGATTGTAAATCTGGGGGAGAAAAAAAAAAAGCCTTGAATGCCAGGTCGCAGGTCCAGATGGAGCTGCTGCAGGTACATATCTTGGTAATACTCCATGGAAAAATTTAATGGTTAAAATGAAGGGTTCCTTGAGGCACCTGGCTGGCTCTGTTGGTAGAGCATGTGACCCTCGATCTTGGGGTCATGATTTCAAGCCCCATGTTGGACATAGAGATTACTTTAAAAAAGTGGGGGGGAGGAATTCCCTGTTACCCATCCACTAAGCATGGCCTGCTAAGAGGGACAATGCTAAGTTGATGTCTTCTGCTTTTAGAGGGCAACATACACCACAAGTGGATGTGCTACTTCAATTTGCCAAGTAACCCAAAAGCTTTGAGCCTAGAGGGAAAGCAAAACAAAAACTTTTGCAGCAGGGTCCAACTTAGTCTGCCTGCATGTTCTGAGAAATAACTCCAATTTTTTATGCTCCAGTTCAAGGAGTCACCTTTTTTAATAAAGGCAAACTCACATGTCCAGTATTTCATAAAAAATGATGCAATTCTCCATGTAAATATGGTTAGCAGAAATTATGCAAGTAGTATGAAAAGTAGGCCATTATTTTTCCCCACAAGGATCCCAAAGGAAAAAAAAAAGATAGCACTTCTCTCTTGGCCTCAGTTTTCTCATATGTACAACAAAACCAATGGACAAATAATTCTTAATCTAATCTGTGTGAGATTCTAAGGGTAATTAACTAAAAGTGCGTCTGTTCAGTAGTAGAAATTGGCTAGTCAGAATTTACTGTGCTGTAAATGTAAAATATGTGCTAGATTTTGAAGATGGTGTGAAAAATGTAAAATATCATTAATATTTTATAATGATCACATGTTGAATGGTATTTTCGATATAGTGGGTAAAATAAGATATATCATTGAAATTAATTTCACCTGTTTCTTTTTCCTTTTCCTAATATGATTACTAGAAAGGTAAAAATTATAGATATGGCTTGCATTAGATTTCTGTTTGGTAACACTGAACTAAACAATGTAAGTACAGTTGAATTATTTGTTTAATAACTAGAGGTTTGTACTTCTTGATTCTCTTTATCCATTTTACCCATCCCCCCCACCCAGCTCCCCTCTGGCAACAACCAGTTTGTTCTCTGTATTTAAGAGTTTCTTTTTGGGTTGGTTGGTTTGTTTCTTCGTTTGATCATTTGTTTTGTTTTTTAGATTGCACATGTAAGTGAAATCATATGGTACTTGTGTTTTTCTGACCTTATTTCACGTAATACCCTCTACGTCCATCTATGTTGTCACAAATGGCAAGATCTCATTCTTTTTTACTGCTGAGTAATATATATCACATCTTATTTACCCATTCATCTATCAGTGGACACTTGGGTTGCTTTCATACCTTGGTTATTATAAATAATGCTGTTGTAAATACAGGGCTGCATATATCTTCTTGAATTAGTGCTGTTTTTTCCTTTGGGTAAATACCCAGTAGTGGGATTACTGGATCATGTGTTATTTCTATTTTTGATTTTCTGAGGAACCTCCATACTGTTTTCCACAGTGGCTGCACCAGCTTACAGTCCCAGCAGCAATGCAAGAGGGTTCCCCTTTCTTTCTCTGCATCCTTGCCAACACCTGTTGTTCCCTGTGTTGCTGATTTTAGCCTTCCTGACAGGTGTGAGGTGGTATCTCATCCTGGTTTTGATTCGCATTTCCCTGATGATGAGTGATGTTAAGCATCTTTTCTTGTGACTATTGGACAACTAGATGTCTTCTTTGGAAAAATGTCTGTTCAGGTCCTCTGTCCATTTTTTAATTGAATATTTGCTTGTTGATATTGAGTTGTACAAGTTTTGTATATATTTTGAATACTAACTCCTTATCAGATATACTATTTGCAAGTATCTTCTCTCATTCAGTAGGTTGTCTTTCATTTTGTTGATAGTTTCCTTTGTTGTGCAGTTTTTTATTTTGGTGTAGTCCCAATATTTTATTTTATTTTTATTTTATTTTATTTTATTTTAGTGTTCAGTAATTTATCAGTTGTGCATAACACCCAGTGCTCATCACAACACGTGCCCTCCTTAATGCTCATCACCCAATTACCCCATCCCCCCACCCATCTCCCCTCCAGCAATCCCCAGTTTGTTTCCCAGAGTTAAGAGTCTCTCATGGTTTGTCTCCCTCTCTGATGATTTCCCATTCAGTTTTCCTGCCCTTCCCCTATGATCCT